CCGCTCACTGGCTGAGCGAGGTGCAGGCGTGACACCGAGGGTTGCGATCCCGTTGCCGGTCCCGGTCCAGTACCGGCGTGACACTGAGGGTTGCGATCCGTTGCCGGTCACGAAAAAAGACAAAAAGACAAAAAAAAAAAAAAAAGAAAAGAAAAACTATTAGAGCGAAGTTCATAAATTGATTACAAAGAAACATTTTGAGAATTCTGTATCTCTGATCAAAATGGTTACTTTAATTGATCTTAACTATGAAAAAATCATTAAAGGTATCAACAAACAGCAAATAACATTTTTACCTTTTTAATTTAGATGAGCCTATTAATTCAATTCTTCAAAATGAACCACAGGAACAGTGCTCATTATGATATGAAAGTGGGATTTATAAGCCTACAGAATACTGCATTTAGTTTTTTGGGGGTTTTTTTTGGCGGCTGGCTGGTACAGGGATCGAATTCTGGACCCTGGTGTTATCCATACCAAGCTCTAACCTACTGAGCTAACCAGCCAGTCCTGTACTGCATTTAAATATTATAGTTGGGATCAAGTATCATAAAAATCACAGAATTTTACAGCATTTTAAGACCATTTAGCCCAATTCACTTAAGTTACATAACTACTCAATAACAACATGTCAAGGCTAGAACTCAGTCTTTCGGTATACTCCAGTTACATGTTGTATACTCGTATCAGCAGTTTGTCTCTAGTGTAGGTATGGAGAGACATTCCTCTCTATCAATGGCCACTGTCTTACAGAAAGGTAAACAATCAACTATAGGACACTCACAAGTTAAAAGCAATTCCATTAGCTATGATGTTTGTTTTTAAGAGAAATGTTTTAAAAACCACATAGCTCTTTAAATTGAAAAGAGACAAAATCAAGTGTTTTATTCAATAAAGATATCAAATAACTATTAAACATAGTTCAGTTTCCTTGTTTTAATTAAAAAAGAGCAAATAAAAGGCAGAATAACAGATGTAAGGGAAAGGAAGAAAAAGCCACAAGAGTTACAATTATGTGTAAACTGCCAAGGCACCAAGTGACCTGAGAGAAATGACTGGTACAGGCTCTGCAGCAGCAACCCACAGGCGGTCAGGCTGTGTTTGTGCAGGTAGGGGAAGGTGTGGTGTAGTCTGGTGTGGTCTTTATATGGGATCCAAGACAAGCTGTAAAAATCTAAGAGTTTTTTATATTGGTGATGATACAATATTTAAAGCTAATTTTACAAGTTAATTATTTTTCTACCCCTATTTCCCTTTTTTTCCTAAACACAAAAGGCATTTGAAGTTCTCAAAATAACAGCCAAAGATGCAGCAGGACCAAAATCAGTTCTGTATCTGTAACTTCTCAATACATTTAAACTTGATTTATCAGGAATAGGAAAACATTGTCACCTTCTCCTACAAAATCTAAAAAATAAAAAGAGGAAAAACAATTTTAGAAATGCAAAGGTCAAAATCACAAATCCTTGCAGTGTGTATTTTTTAAATTCTTTACATGGATGCTTTGGGCTATTTCTAATCAGTTTCAAATCAAGGGCCAATATTAAACAGAAGATGCCTCTCTAGAACTGAAGATGCCTTGCTAAAACATATCCAGAAAACGTATCAGTGAGACTGACTTCTAGCTCTCAATAAAAAATGCCAAAAATACCTTATGATTTATTTTTTTTAAGCTGGAAAAATGAAATCCTCCGTCATCAAGCAATAACAGGAAAACAATGTCTCCATTCCAAAGACTAAATGTTAAGCTTTTTAAAAAGTGCTTGATTTACTATATTAATGAAATTAATGGGGAAAATAAAACGAAATTCATTTATGGATCAGCAAAGAAAACATTCTTTGTTTATTGTCTGCCTGTGTTAAGAAGAATCAGCAATATATTAATGAAATTAATGGGGAAAATAAAACGAAATTCAATTATGGATCAGCAAAGAAAACATTCTTTGTTTATTGTCTGCCTGTGTTAAGAAGAATCAGCACCTATCGTTTATAAATCATTAAAATAAAAATGCTCAATTAATCCTTATTTTATATGTAAAGGTCTGACAGAAACTAGTTCTACCTCTAGACCTTTGCTTCACAAATCGAAGCAATAATGGTTTCAGAAAGCAGTCACACTCTATGAGCAGACAATTGGAGAGATTTAGTAAATCCCACTTTATAGAGCAGAGACTAATCGGAAAACACAAGCCAGTCAAATGTTTCTTATGAACTGTTGACACTATATCAATGCTAAATCAATTGGTGGCATTTACTCTGAGTGACAGAAAAGAAATAAATATTTATATCACATAACCTATATCAATGAACCCAGGCAGAAAGCTATTTCTAACCTGTCAATATTTGATTATCTTGAAGAATCATGTCCTTTTCTTTTAATGATTAATATGAATTCCTTATTAAATCTAAGTGGAGGCTAGTGGAAAGGCAAATCATTATTAATGCTTGAGAGCATAAACCACTAAAATAAAAAACTATGCTCAAGTGTTAAAGTATCGTTAAATGTGACTTACATCTTCCATATCAAGTGGAGTCAGTGTTCAGCCCGGAATTTATTGATGCCCACAACTGTGCACATTACCTCACTGCAATGCAATCTCACTCACTGTTTAGTTACCATGTAGCACCGGAGAGAGGAATTAGTAGAAGGAGGTATTATGAAAGCTTCCAAAGGTGCGTTTTTCTGGGGTTTTTCTTTTTTCATTTTTTGAGTGAGAGTAAATAGCTAATACTTAAAAGAAAGAAAATGCCATACTGTTTAATGTGGGGTTATCACATTCCCAAGGGAAGGCAATAAACAATCTTTAAGTGTCAAAAATCATTGCCATAACAATCTCCCACCACAGAGAACCTTATAACTGAGACCACTAAGATATTTACGGTACTGAGCTCATTGTCAAAACATCAGGAACATTTCAGAATGCTTATTTTTTTGCAGTAGAAATCAACTGTTTTTCATTTTTGAAAAAGGAATCTATGACAGGTTATTTTCCATTGCCTGGGTTGAACAAGTGTAGTTAAAGCTTCTTAATTTATGTCAATTTTGAAATATATTTTCCAGTTGAAGAACAAAAGTGACTTGTACATTAATTACAACTGGTAACTAGAATGCAAGCATGTTGAAGATACATAAATATCCTAGGCTCAATATTGCTGCTCTTAGTCAAGTTTTATTTCATACTGGTTCTGAACACATACAGGGCACTGGGGGACATAGGTGTGGGCCCCAATCTAAACAAATCTTTGACTGCTTAAAGTTAAGAGTATTAGATAAACTAAATACCATCTAAAATTCTGAGTCTACCAAGAGTATACATATAACACCAGATTCTCCTTGGCTGCACATAAAATATTTTAAGGACTAGAATTCACACACTCTGGATGATGATCAGATATCAGAACCAGATCAACTTAATTTTTTCTAACTGTATTCAAGGGATTGTGAACTAAATAAGGAAGGCTTCCAGAAGTAACGCCATAGAGTCACCGTTCTAAGGCATGCACATCTACTAGGCCACAATGTTACAGGTGATATTAAAGGACAAGCATGAGGACCAGCTTTGTCTTCTTGACATGCTCCACTACAAGTACTTGATTCATGAAATGCCAATGAGGCTTGGAGAGGTCAGCGTGTGAAGGCACTGAATAAGCATCTGAGATAATTAAGATTTCAGCCTTCGAAACATGGACGGGAAGTGAACAGCAGTTAAGAAAATCAATAAGAGTCTTTTATTTGCAGTGACACAGATGTCTCAGTCAATAGAGCCTAATAGGAAAGCTTGATCGCAACAGACAGGCGCCTGCCTCCAAGGCTATCAAAGGGCTTCCACTATAACAAACATTAAAACACATTTATGTTGCTATTGAAGAATTGAGGACCCTGTAGGTAGCTTCATTTGCCAGTGCAAGTTTAAAAACACTATACTATTTCAGATGTGTCCATTTACTTGAACCAAAATTAGTGAGAATAAACTGGCCTGCAGGCCGGCCCGTTTGTCCCACACTGGCAGGGTTAGGTCATTCACCTTTGGGTGGCCTGTTGACTAGACAAACCAAGGTCCTCTGAAATCCAGGAATTTTGAATACCACAAGTCTGCTGTTTAACTAGAGTCTCCTAAAAAAGCCAGTGTTAGTTTCAGTACAAAAGAAGGAGCGAAGGTAAGAAAGTAACAGTTTCTTTTCTCCCCAAAGATAAGGAAAGAAACAGTAACCTCAGAATGCAGGGCCATTTTAAGAACTCATGGGTTGACACATTCATTCAGAACTGATTAACTTTTTTTAAACTGAGATGGCAGCAGGGTGTGTGCATGGTACTTCAATCTGCTGGGAGTGAAAGCCATTAGCACAGTGTGAAAAACGTGCTGCAAATTGTCCTGCCAATCAAATTAAGCCATGTTATCCATTTATGACAAGAAGAAATTCAGACTCTTAATCTGTTCAATAAATTTATGGATACAAAAACTGGACAGTACTAAGTCACTACTTTGTGAAAATCTTAATATATAATAATACCTACCTGGCCATTGGCTAATATTTTTTTCAATTCAGCAGACGACTTCTTTAAGCTGAAAAGGGAAGACAACTTTTAGTAGTGAGATCATCAACTTTGAACACCACTGAAAATTTCAGACTAAAATACACCTTTGCTTTTTGTATTTACGGACAACACTCTTTACATTCTTCTCCCTGTAAAAAAAAATTTTTAAACGTACCTGGCCAAATGCAAAGTTATCAATAAAGAGACTAAAACTCCGTTAGTAACCTAAAGTAATAAAGAAGCCTACAGTCAAAATAAAGCTATAATATTTTATGGCTTCAGTGATACTTCAGTGACTTTCTTTTTGGCCATTAGTTCTGCTGTCTTTGGATAGCCTGTCAGGGACAATTTTATGTGTACACTCTCATTTGCTAAGCACAAAGTACTGAACAATGCACTCTTTGAATGTTCACAGCAAAAAAAGATTATAGAATGTCAAAAGATACCATAGATAGTTTTAAGTCCAGGTCTTTTCCTGCAGTTAAGAGTTACAATGTGGCTACCTGGGAAGCAAATGTATAGCAGAAATAAATCCGGATACTCACTAGCTGTATGATCTGGAAAAAGTTATTTATCCTTTCTGAAACTCAATTTCCTCTCTCTATAAAATGGAGAAAATCTCAACTTTTTAGGTAACCAGGAAAATTAAATATTACAAGAAAACCAGCACTGTGCCTTATACATAGTGGGGGAGTTTTCATTAATAAAATTAATAAATTCTAGCTGCCTCTTCTTTCTTTTCCTTTCCTATAGGTATGAGACTCCACTTCCAGAGTTATTTACAGAATATTAAAATTTTCTCTGGACATATATGGCTATAACATTTATATGGATGAGTAGCAAAAGTCCTTGAAGAAAGAAGGGTGGCCCAGGGAAGCTCTGAAGTCCTTGTAGCTTTATAATGAGTTACACCTGTACACATCTACTTGGCTAGGAGTGTCATATAAAATAGCACCTCCCCCCAACCAATGTTTTATTTTAAATTTAAAGTTTTTTAACTCTATGAGGGTAATCCAAAACTTCGTGGAAAAAGAGAATTAAAAGATAACATGAATCTTTCCATGAACATTTTGAAGTACCCTCATATTATATAAATCTGTCCAATCTAACCCTCTACCTATCTACCAAATTATCTCTCTTCCTTGTGTTAGTTATCAGGGTAGATGTCTTTCTTCCCACCACATCCTCCCCCAATACTGGGAGCTCCCTGAGAACATGACCACATTTTACTCACTATATATATTCCATTTCCCTTCTCACCCTTGAACCCAGCGCAGTGACTTGGCCTGTGCTAAGTGTTCCATAACTGGTGGTTGTGGCAGCAGTAGTAAGAGTAGCAATACAGTAAGACACAAAGATCATAAAAACATCAGAGAGCAAAAGGACTCAGGACCTAATATGAAATACACACATTCCATTTGGTACTTTATTACTAGATTACATTTGAGAAAATCTCAAACTTCAAGTTTGACCACATTTACCATTTCAAAATAAGATTATTGTTCTTTTCAAATAGTTCTTAAACTTCTGCTATGGTCCAATGCCGACTATATGAAGCCTCAATCCCCACCTTCCTAGATTTTATAAAATATGCCCTTACCCAAGGGTTCTATGCTTTAATAATGTCCACCCACATCTAAGAATCCATGCACTAAAGTGGCAGTTAAGAATTTTATCCACCGGGACTAAAGCTGAACCATATACCAAAAAATAAACAACTGCCTAAAATCAGTCCAGTTAACGAAATGGTAATAGCAGCAACCATTTATTGGATGATTACCATGTGCCAGGCACTGTACTAAAATGCTACTACTTATTATCCTAATTTAATACTCACAGTAACTATGCCCTCTGGGTTATAGTTATTATCCCTAATTTACAGAGGAAACTAAGGGACAGACCTTGCTCAAAGTCAGTCTATCTCTTACACACACACACACACACACACACACACACACACACACACACACACTTTTTTTTTCTGGGAAACATTTACATCCTAGTATTCCCATAAATGACTCCCAGTTTGATAGTTCCAATTATTATAAAGACACAACCAAACAAAGCCCAAGCAATGTTTCTCCACAGATATTCCATTATGTCATAAACTTGAAATAATAACATTTTGATTCATTGCATTTACAAAATGTCTTTCCATCCAAGAAACAAAATGTGATTCTTTAATACAGCTTCATCAATCTTCCTAATACCAGAGGTAGATAGATGGAAAGTTCAATCATCCTAATTTTACAGAAGGAGAAACCCAGGTTGTTTAGGAAAGGCCTTTCCTTGGCAATGGGACTTGAATTCAGTAATTACAGTCTAGGAACATCACGTGCATCAGTAGTTCAGTGTAATAAACAGTCATTCACCTATGGCAAAGAACAACTCATGCTCTGACACTAACAGAGGAAAATACTGATTTCACTCATTATGCCAACTTCTGGCTACCAACTTATGTCTGCTTAAAAAAAAAACATTTTGTATCCTGGCAATTTTTTTGTGCCTCAGTAAACTCAATATTTAGTTTATCTGTATGGTCATAGTGACCTGTCCAAAAATCATTTTTAAAAACATTTAAAAATTTAAATGTGATACACTTGTAACCTGGGTATAACAGTTGAAGAGGGACACCGACATATCCAAAGAAGAGTAAAAGGGACAGGACTAGAAATAACATCGTATCAGAAAAGCTGAATGAGTTGGGAGAATTTAATCAGAGATAAGATTTAAAGGGAATATATGTATATTCATTCATTCACTTATTCATTTAAGCATGACTGACTATCTCCTATGTGCCAAGTACCACACCAGGAATTGGGACTTCAACAATGAATACGCTAGAGTGACTGCCCTCAAATAGCACAGAATCTATTGGGGGACAGAGGCCATTAGGATACAATATGCTCACAGCTACAAGAAAAGGAAGCACGAGGGGATTAAAGGAATTCATAGAAGGGAAACCTGGTGTAGACTGAAAGGTGGGTAGTAATCAGGGACAGTTTTCAGACAAAGATAATTTGGTCCTCAAAGATGACAAAGGTGAGCCAGAGTGAAGGTGAAGCAGGGATGAAAAGAGTAAGAAAACAGGAAAGAGGCAGCAGCAGACGTGCAGGCCCAGGAGTGAGAGGAAACTGATCCTTTCGGGGCACATGTGTTTATCAGCAAGGCTGGAATGTCAGGTGGGAAGGGGCGCAGTGGCAGGCCAGCAAGCTGGAGTGCGCAGTGTAACTACAATGTGAAAGGCCACTGCCCATCTGCTATGGAGGTCATCCCAAACATGTGAAGAGCAGTGAAAGGTTTTAAAATGGAGAAGAATGGCTCAGAACTGTGCATTAGCACGATCACTCCACTGCAGTGTGGAGGAGGAACTGAAATGGGGCAAGACTGGAGGGAGGAAACTATCGGGAGGCTGTAGCCGTGATGTGCAGAGCCAGAATCACCTGTACAGCAACAGGGACACCAGCAAATAGACTCAGAGCTACTCAGAAGGCAGAGCTACAGATGCAGGGACTGACGGGATGTGGGATTGAGGGAGCCCCACGAAGCAGTGAAGGATGACTGGCAGGTTACTTGGAGTTAGCAACAGGGTGGATGTGGCAGAAAGACAGGAAATCTAGAAGAAGCATATCTGGAGGGAAGATGACTGGAAGAACTGCCACCTGGAAGAGGAAATAGCCATGTTCTGAGGGCTACACTAAGTCTTTATGAGTGGGTGCTAAAGGGAAACAAATCTCAGCTCACGAAAAAGAACCTTCTAAGCTGTAGCTAAATGAAAATGGAAGGTGCTGCCTTGGCTGATAAAGTACATTCCTGCCACAGGGATTTTCAGGAGAGGCTTGGATGACCATCTGGCAAGGAGTGGGGAACCAAGCCTCAAAGGAGGGCAGCACTGGATTGGTGCTTCTCCTACTCCACACCACAGGCAAGGGATCTTTCAAAAACTCAGAGCCAGCCATGTCACTTCTGCTGAAAGCCCTCCAACAGTTCTCCAGGGCACTTAGAGAAAAATTCCCATGCTACTGGGCCTACAAGGCCCAGTGTGATCTGACTCCTGTCTACCTGCTCATCTCCTATCGCTCCTATTCCTCACCTCCCCTCTCCCCACATTCTTGCCCCAGCCATGTACCCCTCTCTGTGCTCTAGCCAAATTGGCCTACTTACAAACATGCTGAGCTTCTTTTCCACCTCAGGACCTTCACTATGCTCCGCTCTGTCTGAAATGCCCTGCTCTGCTTCCTGACATGACTAGGTACTTCTCATCCTTCAGGTCTACATGAAAACATCACTCTCCCCAGAGATCCTTCCTTGAGCATCAGTAGAAATCTAAACACATTTCCTGCCTAGTGTTCTCTCTCTTTGCATCCTGCTTATTCCCTTCATAACACTAACTATAAAGTGTAATTATTAGTTATTTTTTTTGTCTGTACACCATTAGATGGTAAGCTCCAGAGGATAAAGACCACATTATAGTCCTAATGCTTAAGACAGTACCTAATGAATAGGAGGCACTCAATGAATACCTGTTGATTAATTACCAACCTTGGACACAGAACATGGCCAACCAAGGGTGGCATATTAAAAATCACCTAAAAAGTAGAACGTTTTCATATTACATTTCTCCCATAATAGGAGTTACTACTGGAGCAAACTATCATTATTTAGGAATCTGTCATTTCACTAAGGGAAGATGCCACAGACACAAGACTGAGAAACACTAGATCATCAGATGGTCTCTGAACTTCTCTCCAAACCAATGACTTTATAATACTCTGTGAATATACATGATAATTTTTGAACAACCAAGCTAATATACTCATGTTATTAAAACCAAATCTGGGAAAATGGAAGAGTTACCCTGTTTCTCTGTCTTGCCATCTTTTCAACTCTATGAAATCTGAACACCAGGGAAAGTCCCTGTTCCTCTTCAAGGTTCATAATCAGTCTGTGTGGATGACGCCCTACCTGGAAGTTGTGGCAATGATGGAATGCCCTGCCTTCTCTGAGGTGAGTACAACAAGTGGCCCCACCCTCCACACCTCCACTCCGTGGAGCCATGGCTCACATGCCCAGCAAGGTTGGGGAGAGGAGCTGCAAAGTGCCTCCTGGCAGGCCCCACCCTTTGTTGGAACTGAAACACCTACCCCACATGACCACAGGCAGATGATCCACTGGTGAGTAATGAGGCTAACTGTACTTTAAGACAGAATAAATTGTACACAAAGGAAACACACCTTAAGAGCAGTGTGTTCATAGCAGTAAAACTGGTAGGTAGATTCTGTGGCACCATAATAAAGCAATCTGGGAAGTGGCTTTTGGGAAGATGTATTAGTCCATTTTTGTTGCTTATAACAAAATACGTGGAGCTTGGTGATTTAGAAAGAAAAATGACATTTATTGCTTACAGTTTCTGAGGGTGGGAAATCCAAAGTCCATCTGGTGGTGGCAACAGTGACTCCGGGGTCTCACATTGCAAGATGGTGGAAGCAGAAAAAGCAGAGAGAGAGAAAGACAGACTCTCCTCTTCTTTTAAAGCCCTCAGAAGCACACCCTCGACCACCATTTTTAATCCATTCACCTACTGCAGTGTCCTACAATCCAATCACTTCTTTAAGGCGCCACCTTTCAATTACCATAATAGGATTTCCCACTCTCTTAACAGTCACAGTGGAGGCTAAGTTTCTAATACATAAAACTTGGGGGGACACAATCAAGCATCACAATCCAAGGAGTTTTGGGGGGACATAATTCAATCCACTATGGAAGAGGACAAAAAAAAGGGGGGAAAGTAAAAAGAGATTCAGAAGGAAAGACTTAGAATTGCCTATAGTAAAGTCCCTTGGCCAGAAAAACAATACTGTGGGGTAAGTGGGGAGAGAGAGGTATTGAAGGGAAAATAGAAACCTAAACTACATCTCAGCCAATTAAGGGCTATGCAGATACTGGCTAAGCCGTAAATGCAGAAAAACCTCGGCATAGAATGGATGGGTTTTCGGGCTTAGTGTTGGCTTTTCAGTCACCAATGTGAACATGCACACGTGGAGCAACCACTTTCATAGTGTCACCCTCAATTACAGTAATATGATGTTACTGGCTAAATAACTGAATGTATAACCAAAATGTCCTAGAATTCTATCAAATGAAGCAGGTCATTCCTGCCACTTGAGGACTGTGATAGTTTGGAAGTAAGTTCTCAGGCGTGCAAGGACATCTGCAAAAGGCTCAAGTCATTAGTATCCATCCCAGTATGGGGCAATGTTAACATGAATTAATGAAGATTATCTTCCTTCGATAATAACTTCAATCTCCTGAACAGCCAAAGATACTAATGACCTATACAGCTGGTCAATTTCAATGTCACTACTTTATTCTTTCCCTGCCTCTTTCTGGTAAAGATAACACTGGATAATGACACTGCCAATAGATGGGCAAGCAAGAAAAAAATAATAAGCATTCTGTATTTTACAAATCAGATCATCATGGCAGGAAATAGTCAAAGGCACCAAATATTCTAATTTGGAAACTGAAGGAAGCCAATCCACAGACCAAAATTCATAATTTAACATGTCTGATTTCATCTTCTTATATGAGGTCCTTTCTCTTCAGTCAATATGTAGCTAGGGTTATCCAACTAATTAAATTTCTTTTTAGTCACATACACATTTTTTCTGGTGTTATAGAAAAGAGTTGTCTTTCCCTTTCCACCCCACCTTTGTAGATAACCATGTCAGGGGCACACTTCACCTGCTTGCTCTCACCTATTGCTTGGAAGTGAATCTGCGACTGCTGGGCTACTGTGTTGAGAGGGTCCAGCCCGGGTATTCACCTACAAGTATGGAAAGAATCTTTATCAGTCTTGTGTTCTGAGGACACAGTTCTAATTAACCTATAATTTGCCACAAATTTCTCATTTAACAATGGAGGTTAATTAGCTTGTTGCTAGAAGACCCATGGTTGGAGTCTCTTCAGTATATAGGTTACAGAAAACCATAAAAACCATATATTACATAATATTCTATTCCTGTCATGATTCAAATACTTAACAGTGCTGAAAAAGGAGAGATAAACAGGAAAATTCAATTCACTGTCTGGAACACACGCAAAAACAATATGTTCAAAAAGTACATTAAGAATATATCGAGGGGTCAGTAGTGAACCTCAAGTTATCATATCCTTCCAGCTCTACAACCAAGAAGAACATTTACTCACTAATAAATGAGGTCCAAGCAATTAATTTTAAAATATTTGAGCCTAATACAATAGTCAGCTTTTCTTTCATATATGAAGCTTTAAGCAGGAATTCAAAATACACAGAACAATGAAAAGACATTAATTAGATATATGTTTCTAGCACACTTATGTCAAAAGAAGAGGGGGGTATTCTGTGCACAATATGCTTATGTGCTTAATTAATCACTGAAATGAAGTCTATATTCTCACTGAAATAAGTCTTTGTGGAGACCAGTATCCAGGATCATTCTGAAGAAACTGACCAACAAAACAATTCCAAATAATTAAAAATAAAGCACCAAAACTCCGGTATCCAAATATAAACACATATTGAGCAAATACTACAGATGAATCCTCCTCCATCTCCCATTAGAAAAAAAAAAAAAAAAAAAACCAGACCGCTTGTCAGAGCTTGAGAAAGTGCAGTTTTATTTGACATTTCAATAAGTGGAACACAGCATTACAAATCCATCTAACTTTACTGAAACAATTATTGAAATTCGTACCTTCAGGCCATGTATGTTCCGTTCCCCAGGAGGCTTGCAGGCTGAAACAGTAATTGACTATATTGTAGAACACATCAGGGCCATTTACAAATTTGCTCAAAATGAATCGTTTAAAAAGAAATGAGGGTGACACCAAAATTAGCAGAGAGAAATGATTGAAAAGTGGCTCCCAAGACCCAAAGTGGGAATTATGAACCAGGGTTTTAACTTGCAGGAGTGAGCATTTATAAATGCAAAGTGCTTTCTGACACCACCTCATATAAATTCTAATTTCTGCTTAAAACATATAGAGATCAAGTTAACTGAGCTAAAATGATTAGATTCCTTTCATAATTCAAATTTCTGCAACCTTTCCTCACTTTATTACACTGTGTACCTGCTATCACTTAAACTATTTTGAAAACAGCTAAGGGTATTTCTTGAGGGCGGGGGCGGGGGAGAGTAAGAGAAAAATCTTTTAATGGCAAAAGGATTGCTAGAGATTCTAAAATGGAATATTCCAGTTTAAATACTAGTTTGCACAGCCATAAGCAGTCAAATTTATTAAAACACAGATATATAACCAATTTCATTATATTTCTTACAAATCTTGACATCTGCTTATATTTAGGTCTAAAGATAAAGCAGTACCAGGAAAAATAATATTAATTTTTTGATATCATCTTGAGTTAAAGGTTAGTACTTTCCCAATTCCACAAATGCTTCTTCATCAAATGTTAAAAATACAAAAGCTTCCTGACCATGTTATAGACTGCATCCATTTGAAAATTATGGTGCCCTACAAATTGTATGTTAAGAGGCCGTCAATTTTGATTGATTGTTTGGGGAAGGATGAATTTGATTTTTTTTTTTCTCTTCTCTCAGATGTAGCTGTGTTTTTCCTTTATTTCTGACGAGAAATAGAGCTGTTTAACAAGAAGAAGATATGGGCAATAATTACAAAACATGTCAGTCACTCTAATTTTGTACATTTCAAATATATTCAAATTTATTGTTATTTTCCTAGAAAATATATCTAAACCTTAATAAAGGGTTTTTACTTGTCTTTCAAAAATATATTAAAATTAAGACTCCAAATCTTTTTTCCTTAAAATGGAAATTAACTTTTTAAGCAAAACAACAGCCACATACATTTGATGCTTGGTCTCTGAGAGAACATCAACACTTCCCAGACAGACAACACTTCAAAATATTTCCACTGAAGTAACCAGTGCAATTCATAAACTTCATTTAAGAAGAAAGTGGCCAACTAAGGAGTTAGTTCTACAGAGAAGACTTGCCATGAGCTGGCAGTTACTATCCAAGGCAACTGTGCTACCCGAAATGAGGAGAACATATGTTATTAGAATAGAATAATTTTTTCCTGTCTTTCCTACTTGTTCAGTCTAAAGATTCTTTTTAACATGGAGCCTGACCACAAAATATAAGGTCTAAGGGCCTCTAACCTATTAGGTAGACCCAGGTAATATATCTACTATGTCTAAACACTAATTATAGAAAATTGTATAAATCTCACTTATTTACTATGATAAGATGACATGACATGCTGTAGATAGGTAGTAAAATGAGAAAGACTACAAAAAACTAGAAAAAGTTGTACTATAGCATACAAAAACACCACAAAGATAGGAAGACTGAGTCTCTCATTTTGAAATTTTTAAATTGGGCTTGGAAAGACTATATTTAATAATTTATTACAGCGCAGTAGGTTTCATGCTAAGACTACAAGTGACACTAACATCCCATAAATTTTATTCTTTTAAGTATCCTCTCCCTACAATATACTCTTCTCCCCACCCTTACACCAAGCCCTCCAAACTAACCCCATGAACATTCCACTAAAATTTTAATTTATATGCCCTTCCATGTTAAGCAAACAAAATTCTTACTCAAATAGTATATTAAATACTTATAAGCTGTGTGACTCTGAAGTTACTTAAACTCTCTGAACCTCAATATTCTTATCTATAAAATGGAAGCAATAATACCTAATAGGCAAAACTGTTGGGAGAATTAGAAACAATGGCACATAAAGCAATATTAGTACCTGAACAGAACATATTTCTAATAATGGTTGTTATTATCATTGGATGGGGCACAATGGCATAGATGGTGAGATTGACAGGGAGTACTTACAAAATGAAAGAAAACAAATAGAACTTGAAAGGTGTCAGATGAAGAGAAGTAAATATTTTATGAAAAGAAAAACAAAGACCCACAATAGAACTCTAATTTTCCAGGATACTGTAATAGGGCTTGCTACTACAGAGCTATCATGTCATCAAGCAGGGAAGCAATTAATGGAAAGTTTCAGCTTGTAAAAAACTATTACTTGTTGGGAAACAATTCTGAATCTTGCCCAAATTCTCCAGTCATTGAGAACATTAAGAAATAATCTGCATCCTTTATTGGCCTAATACATGGAAATGGCAAAAGCTCTCTCTCTCTCTCTCTTTTTTTTTTTCTTCCTGTTTTGGTGTTTAGTCTTGAAGTACAACAGAATTGGATTAATCATAATCCTTGTTTCAAACTATCATTGGCCCTAAGTGGCCCAATTTTGTTTACTCACTTAGCACTTTAGTAAGTTATTATTAATAATATAATATGCACTCCCAATTCCACCGCCCACACAAACACTAGAAAAGCTGTATTACTCTGGAACCCAGATCCTCTCCTGGGCTGGCCAAGCCAGCTGCCTTTGGAGACTTTATCAGTGCAAATAGAAGCCTACTGGTTAATTGAGCCGTTCAAACTTCAGAGTTACAGGTAATGAAAGTCTAGAATTTTTAATTGGAAAACTCATACTACGGTTATTTGTACAGTACCAGTTAACGAAGGTAAGTTTAACTTTTAATTATTTCAATTAAGTTATTTCTAGAAGGGTTACTTAGAGAATTTCCTTATCTGTTCCATTAGTTAGAAAACATGGATTCCAAGTGGGGCAATGTGTAACAGGTGAGAAAGACTTAATGGTTTATATAATTAAACTGTTCTTTTTCACCACTATTCAAATTTTGAGGGAACTTTTATACACAGTTGAACAATCATATCTGATACAAAGCTATGACTACCAAACCTAAAAGGGAAACAGAAAATTATGTGACCAGGTAATTCACCAAGACTCACTCTCCCATTTATGAGGATTTCCCATTACTTAGAAAAATACTTCCCCCCAAAACCAAGCACCAAACATTCTACCAAAATTTCTCTCCTAACACCCCTCAGTAAATTTTAGCTTCTGTACTACGTGAAAGTCTTCTCCTCAGAAGCTTTGGCCACTCTCATGAGCCACAATTTATAAATATACAGAATTAAAGTCATTCATTTGATATGGTTTAGAAATCATGTGGACCCCCCATGAGTTCTTTAAGCGAATTTAAGTATGTACTTCAAAAACAAAAAACAATCTAGTTAGTTTAATTTACTCTAGTAAATTAGATATTTTATCTGCCATAACCATAATATAGCCTACAATCCCCACGATAATGAATACTACTTTTGTTTTTTCAAATTAAGATCTGGACATCATGTTATGTGCATTTAAACCTTTGGAAAACATAACTGTTGATAAAACAGTTTACTGAAATAATCATTGTTGATTAGAATTTGTTCAACATTACCTCTTGGAAATATTTGCAGAGGCTCTATTAACTGTCCATTTACTTGCTGTTCCATTACTGTGGAATAATACTGCAAAGAGATTACAGAAAGAGATTACTCAGTAATGTATGAATACTGGAACAGACACTTATGGGTTATTTAATTCACAGTACTTTTGTAAACTGCTGGTATATATACATCAGCTTGGAGAATACTTTTCTCCTACTTGAACATCAAAATGAATACTGTGAACATCCAGGACTGAAAGTCTAGTACAGTGTTATCCTCCACACTGCCATTTATCTTTGAGAGTAAAAGTGTTGATTAAAACTTCATAACAGTATTGGGGGATTTTATTATTTATTTATTTATTTATTTTTGGTGGCTGACTGGTGTTGGGATTCAAACTCTTGATCTTGGTGTTATACCACCACACCCTATCCAACTGAGCTAACCGGCCAGCCCTATAATAGTACTGGACTTAAGAAGAAATATTTTGAAAACGATATGTATTTAAAATAACACAAAAAAGCATTTTAGTAGAAACTTCTCAAATTGCCTTTTGTTCTTTTTCCTCGGATTTTGAAAAGCAAAATGAAGAAGCTTCATATCTGGCTTGGACCCACATGACAGTTAATCAAACATTATTCATATTTGTATATAAAATGCACAGTTAATGGGAATCTAAATTACAGAGACTATGGAGCCAGAAAACAAGATATGACCCATCCAAAGATGACAGGATTAATATGATAAAAAGGTAGCCTACTTTCAAGCAAACACACCTTTTATGCTTCAGCCTTATAAACACTGTAGTATAGATCAAACTTCACTATAAAATTCTAGGCACAAAAAATAAAGTTCTAAGTGAAAAAGCTTTCATAGTCCTTCATAAAAACAAATCATTCAGTAGGTTGTACTGTGGTCTGATTTCCATATTCCTTAACATACTGATTGGCAGGCACAAAAAATAAAGTTCTAAGTGAAAAAGCTTTCATAGTCCTTCATAAACACAAATCATTCAGTAGGTTGTACTGTGGTCTGATTTCCATATTCCTTAACATACTGATTGGCAAGAATATGCCCACCTAACTTGGAGATGGCTTCTGTGCTCTCACTACTTTTAACTCTTGACAAACAACAAAGTGATGTTCTTGGTGGAAAATATCAGTGATGAAAACCGCTGATTTTGTGTTTTGATGGGCTGTCAAAGAGCAGAACTCTCTTTTCATCCTTGCTATTTCTATATTAAAAACACACACATATTATTTAACTACCACATTTTCAGGAAATTCCTCCTTGACTGTCATTATTTGCTGACATTCTAAAAAAGCTTCTTTTTAGAAGATATTACATATATCTCCTATTGTTTTTATGACAGTTAAAATTATTACAATATCAAGGCACTTTTTCCTTAAAAATAAAGGAGAGCTATAAAATTCTACATCACCTTGGGAATCACAAGTTAACAAATCTAAGGCTCTTTACCCTAGTAACTAATAAAGTGAAGGTGGATTTTTGATAGCTGTGGGCTGATATATAAGTGTACCCTGCTCTCCAAAGGCTTTCAAACTATAAAGGAAAGTAATCCTCTCCTTCTATGGACCTAAAAACTTATATACATACAGCATAAATACTTTCAACACTCTCTGGTTGGGCAAATATCTTTCAGGAGATTCTGTTCCTTAAACCCACAGAAATACAGCACTCGCCATTACTCAGTGATGACAAGTAAATGAAATATCAATCATGTAGGCTGTCAACCTTTTGGGACAGCAATAACTGTTAACAAGTAGTCTGGAAAAATTGTCTGAAAATGACTTGTCCTCAGCACACAAGTATTTGAGGTTTCCATGGAAAATTAAGATGCCAGTGGCTATTTGGAACATTGCTCAGGTATTCTTTTTAATGGGAAATTTGCCGGTTATTGATCCACAGCATGTACCCCCTTGCTTATGGAAGGCTGCAAGCAACTTTCCAATCAGTGGCTGTCAAAAAAATTACTACCTTTTTATACAGATACAAGACAACAGCAGTGGTAGTGTTCTCCTATAGTTAATGCTTTTCTTTAATTAACTGCTATGTACAATAGGTTAGTAATTTCAGTTACTACTTCACCATAGTCCTAGAAATCAAAACAAACAAAATATCCTTATGCTTTATCTAACAGCTTAATTATAGAGTTGTCTGAAACTGGTGCTTGGGGTCAAGTGTGAAAACAAATAACGTCAAATGTAAAGGGTCAGAACAGTACAATGCATTTTTTTCCTACTATAAAACCTTGCATGCATGAAATTGACCTGTTTTCTAGCTTTATTTATTTACCTCACAAAATAAATAGATAAAAATGGTTTCCCTCCCATTTTAGGTCTATGCCAAATCAGCTGGCAAACTGTACATACTTTTATAAATCACTGTGAGAATTTTTAAGCATCTATAAACATCTCTTTGTACTATGATTAATATGGTCAAGGTGATGATATTAAGTATGCCATCTACTCATTTCTCTAAAGCAAATAATAAGATTTTGGTTTTTGGTTTTTTACAATTATTCCAAATCCAAGTATATTTTCTCCTGCTGACATACTGTGTTTGAGCTGTGTTTGTATTAATGGAGAATCTTGTGTTCCACACAGCAAAGTGATTCACCGTCAAGATCATGACATAAAGGGTGGTAATCAAACCCATGGTATGAGCCCACTCTGCACAACTGACCTCTGTGGAGCAGGCCTGATGAGGGCCAGGTGTCCGCCAACAAGGTTCCCAGACTAGAAGCTCAAGCCACTGCATAGTAGCATTCCCTAAGGGACAAGGATAAAATGTGGTGCCATGCATGGTACCTCCTGGCACAGAGGAGTCCTGACAGGCCACTAGACCAGTGCTGCCCAGTGAGATGTGCAATGAACCTGGAGGAGTCATATGGCTCAAACCCAGGAGTCTCATCACCAGTCGTCTCCTAGCACATGACCTCAGTGAGGAAATGCTCACTGAGCCCCACTTTACTCATCGTAAAATGAAGATGGGATCTACCCACAGAACTGCTGTGAGACTCTCATGAGAAAACAGATAAGAAAGCAATTAATAAACTACAAAGCAGGTTGTTTTTAGATCTTGAATCTCTATTCTTCCTTTAAGAAGATTCCAATTTTGGTGGAAGCAATCATAAATAAGCAGTGATGAGAAAGACAACTAGACAAAAAAAAAAAAAAGCAAAAAACAAAGAAAGAAACAAACAAAACACTAAACCTGTACACCGAAATACTTAACAGAGCTTGGATAGAAAAGTAACAAAGTGACCATCATAACATTAATGAAGCCATAATCTGAAGTTATCCAAATAACTTCTTTATCTTCTCTTCTATAATCCTATTCTGGCTTTTATTACACCTAACACAAAGTTCTGCAAATAGTAGGTGTTCAATAAATATTTATTGATTAAAATGGGGTTAAATCCTGATTCTGCCACTTAAAAATGCAAAAATAATGATGTATAAAAAGTACAAAATACTGTGCTCAAAATAATACATCAGCAGCAGTTATAAAATGTGTTTTCTGTTGCTATTGCTTGCATAGTCTGTTACACGCAGTAATTGCAGCAATAATCAATAACTTAACTGAGTAAAAGATTAATCAGTTTTGCAATTGCTAATGGAATCTCCAGTACCAGGCTCAGATTACTTTGAGTCCCACTGAGATGTTCTTCAAAATCCTTAAACAATTTTAATAAGGATGTGACAAAGTTTAGCATAGTTATCCAAAAATCTAATTAATTTGAAACAGAGGGCCAGATTCAACAAGGGGATAACAAGCACTATTTCTGGCTTTGTTTTGTTTGCAAGTGTATCAAACAGTGTTTCTATTTGTTATGAATCTAATTCTAACAACACAATTCTATCAATAATTACATTTTTTTCCTCATGGAAATCTGCCACATAAAAAACTTGAGTTCTAAAACAGCACAGTTTAATTTTACAAAGCACAAGTTCTCCATTAAAAAAGAGAAACAGAGAGACAGAGAAACAACTCTTACTCACTGAATCCTTATGTGTGTTAGGCACAGGACTGCATATCTATGTCTATCTGTTTAATTTCCACAACCTTATCCTATTTTGAGAGTATCATCACCTCTATTTAACAGATGAAGTAAATGGTATATCAGTGAACAAGAAATACACTCCTTTCATTCTCACCCATGCAGTTGGGACATAAACGGTATGTTTACTATTTAAGAGTTAAAAGGTAGATTATCTAATATTTCTCATACCTCAACACATTTAACTAAATAATCTGGGTTACGGGTAGACTGCTGAGCTGGTGGAAAGCTCTGGCTTCTTCACTCACACCCTGGGTGGGCTGGACCACGTCACCCGATCTTTCAGAGACTGGAGAAGCAGTACAAAGATATCTGCTCTGAAGGATAACCTCCGGCTCTTCATTTGGTGACCCATGGGTGTCCTCCTACCTCTACAACCACTCCACTCAGTTTCCTGTAAGTGGTTCTCCCCACCCCCTATTAAATGCTGGAGTTCCCCATGGTTTTCCATCAACATTTCTTCTCATTATATACTCTCTTTGAGTTGCTTCAGCCACTTCAAAGGTTTCAATTACCAGAGGAGTCACTGAGACTAATTAGGAGTTGATGAATCACAAATCTTTATTTCCAGCCCAGATTTCTCTCCTAAGATTCGGAACAAACCCCATTGGTTGTCCAGAGCCTCCTCCAACTCAACAGGTCCAAAATTGAATTCCCTCCCTCTTCCACCCTTCCTTCATACCCTAGACCTGTCTTCTGTTGCCTGGCTATCTCAGTAAATGCCATCACAATGACTGAGTTTCCCAAACCAGAGATCTGGAAGTAATCCAGACTCTCTCTCTTTCCGTCATCCCCACATTCAATTACCAGGTTTTATTACCTTGACATCCTTCCCACTTCTCAAACCTGTTAACTTCTCACCAGGCCTGATGGCTACCACCGTCTTTCACATGAGCAGCATCCTAAGAGGCTTCTGTGCTTCAGAACTTTTCCCACCCAAGCCACCCTCCAGATTGCAGCCACCAGAGATATGAAATATAATCATGTCACTCCCCTG